TACGACTTTGCAAAGATTAAAAAAAAACAAGGGATAACAATGGTTGGCTTCTATATAAAAACCTAAGAAATTTTACACTAATGCAATAAGATGAGATTTACTGGGCATTTTAAATAACTCCAAACATGGGCTGCTCTAAAAGTTTTTATTATTATCTCAAAACATCCCAGTGTAATGATAAAATACAATATTATCAGAACAATTCTTTTAATAATATTTTTCACTTTTGTTTTGAATTCACAAAAATTTCTGATCGTCATAAACAAATTGATGAAATTACAACAAATGCCACTGTTGCTGACTAAATATCACCACTTATAATTAAATATTGTAGTCCTTTCATTGATAAATATATCACTCATTTTATTACATCTTCTATAGAGGTAAACTGTTTTCCAAATAGGTGGAAAATGTCACTTGAATTACCATAAGCTAAAGCTAAGCGCTTTCCAAAATATTTTGGAAATTTCTCTGTAATCAAATGTATAATTATATAATTGTTAATAGAATAGTACCAGAAAGACAACATGTTGTAAAATGCTGTTAATAGATGTATGTTTATTATTATTATTATTATTATTATTATTATTATTACTATTTATTATCAGGAAATTCACAATACATAACTTAAAACAAAAACAGAAAAAAAGCATTGACTCCATATAGGCGAAATTGTGTTAATTTGTTAAGGGCTAACCATCGAAACCTTTTAATAGCAGTTCAGTAATATCACTTTTTGAAGATTTGTACACCTATAGAAATTACTCAAAAGCTCTTTGGAAATTTGTCAAACATTTGTTTTTTCAACAAACTGAAAATTGGAACAAAAAAAATTTTCAAAAAAATTGATAACCAAAGAACGACTTATATTAAAAAATAGATAACTTTTAAATGGTAAAGGTAAACCTGAGCTTGGGCAATAAAAAACTCCAATTTTGGTAATATGTTTCACATGATTTTACCAATAAAATACATTGTTGTCTTCTAAGAATCAGTTTTTAAGACAGGCCTGAATATTTAGCCCCATGCCCAATATTTAACATGGGCTAGTTCCATTGTGCGCCACGTCGAATTTGGTCATTTGCTTATAAAACGAGGTTATTGTTGCTATTAAGGACAAAACCTAGATATGTAAGAGTATATGTTAATTTTCCTTCGCAGCATGTCCAAAACTCTCAAGCCGTTCTTCCCAAGAGTTTGAAAAATAAGCTTCTCCAGGGAAGCTCTGGAAGCATAATTTAGCGAGTCCCTCCGCGCTACCTAATTATGAAAGCTTTCGAGTTTGAAAGTAAGATTTTTACTTAATTAATTTAAATTTCGAAAATAAATTTTACCACAATGAAAACTTGTATAAAATTGCATTACATAGAATACGAAATGAAATATAATATATAAAAATAGATTGAAATTGTGGGGCAGACGTGACGTGAAAGATTGGGTAAATAATCAGGTTGACAGAAACCTGTCATTTGTAATATTTTGATTCAAATGAATTGGGCTCCATTTGTGCTCAATCGTGGTGTGAGAAATATGAGACGATTTAAGAAACAAAAGACTGCAGTTGGTTTGAAGACTTAAACTCTGAATTGCAGTTTAAAAAGTACAAACTTTCATTAAATACGTTAACATTTCACAAATTTACATTTTACATAACGATTTAAGTTAAAAATGGAATCCGATATAAATAATTCATGATACGGAAGGTATATACAGTGTGTGTGAGAAAACTAGAAAACCCAAATATGGCGATTTCGTTTCTTTCTTCGCGAAGAAACTTAGATGTACGACATGAATATGATTTTACATTGTTTAAATCGAAAAAAGGGATTTTTATCAAATTTGCAATATTTTGGTATAGTAGGCGTTGAGAAAATATCAAAATAATTCTATTGACATGCCGTTTTTTAACGCTGTTGAGTCTTTCTGCTATTGATTCTGTTTTACTATACACGTGTTTTTCATCTGAGACGAAGTTCGATATGCTATTTTAGCTGAAGCTGAAGCTGGTCGTCTGTATTTAAATAACTACCCAGAAAAAAAGACAATCGAGTACACAAATTTTACTACAAATCGGAAGCAGAATGGTGAATTTACCAGTTTTATAAAGAAATAAAACCTGCAATTAAAAACAATTTAGAATTTGTCAAGCGCTGAGATCTGGTAATGACGAAAAGCGAAGAACATGATAAAAATATGATAACAAATAATGGAATTTTTAACAGGCGAAATGCTCATTATTTTGCAAGAAGCTTTGGACAACTTATCGCACCCGCGCACAACGCCCTATAGGACAGATTTCCAGAAAAATTGATGGGTATCTATTTGTGGTCCCCTCATTGGCCAGGCCTCATTACACTCGATTTAGGGATATTCCAAAAATTATGTTTACTAGCGAGTTCTAGTTCTTGAAGCCTTTCAAAACATTGCAACTGACATGTTAAAACATGTTTGAAATTCATTCTACAGTTACAAAGTGATTAATTTAATTTTTTTTGTAGTAAGTTCTTTTTGAGTAATTTGTCTAATGCAATGTGACGTGATATACCTATTTAGCTATTATTTCATTTATATTTTAACAGTGTGGAATCACAACGTGTCTTATATCATTGTGTTCGTAATAAAAAAAAATCCTATTATTCACAGATGAAAGTGACCTTTACTTCTTTATATCTCTTTAAATAACACCAGAAACAATTTTTGGACTTCGGAATTTTTTAACTTTTTCAACAACACGTCATTAAATTTGGCAACTTTTTTCTAATTTAAAGCATATTCCTATCTCTTATAGTTTCCAATATGCTCATGATAGACATCCTTATTTGTATAATAATCATGAATATAAACTTCTTGAAAATCGAAAGCGTTCAAAAAACTTGTATGAAACAAATAAATTTTGTTAATTATTCTTTAAGTTTTAATTTTTTATTTACTTTAACTTGCTTCACATAGTACACATCAACTACTAAAATCAAACTTATTTAAACTGTCGTAATTTTATTCTGACTTTTCAGCAATTTAGAAATAAATGAAATAAATGGCACCACAATGCAGCACAAATCAAATCGAGATCATTACATGCAAAAACAATGTAAAATTTTGGGAGGGCGTTGGTCAACTTTTTAATTTGTTAAAGAAGAGAAATATTAAAAATGAACAGGGGTTTTGGGGGACTCTTACCTATTTAACTTCAAGAATTGTTAATCGGAAAATACGTAATATTTATTGATTTCGTCACGTGCAATTCTCGTATTTCTCAGCCCCACTCCCCAAGAACTGAATTCTTCGTTCACGGAGGTTGACTGTGTAGACGTTCGGGTGAACTTTTCTGGGTACCACCGTTCATGAACGACAAAGGAAAGCAATAAAGGGAAAAGTCAATTTCACGCCTGTAAATGGCTAGACGGTGGAAAACAATAATCGCTTTTGTTTGCCAAAGTAATTTTAATTATTGCGGACTTTATGACCGACGTATGTCGGTTATGTTTATTCAGTGCGTTGCTTCTAGCTTTATATTTTTGGTTTAACGACGTTTCGACTAATTATTGCAGTTGGATCGAATAGAAATACGTGATGGGAACGTTATTCGCCATATCGCTACTTTAATATGCACTCGTTTTAGAAGAAAAAAAAAACTCAACTTAGGTTACTAAGGGAATTGGTTGGTGGTAAATTATTAACTCCCTATGGAATCGGGACTACTAAAAACGCGGTTTATAATACCCATTTATCAATGTTATTTCGACCAAACTATAAAGGTAAGAACGGCGGAATTATGCGCCATAATACAGCATTTTAATGCACCCGATTTTACTACGTATTTCGTCTTCATAAAAGATATGGGGGTTTTACGATACCGTGTCCATTTCAAATTTACAACAGAAAACGCAATTATCGGAGATATGGGGAAGCTTCGCCGAACCAAAGTGCCTTTCTAAATACTGAGATAAATCAAAGTCACCCACTAATTTTATTTCACCCTCAAAAGCTTTTATGGAAACTATAACGCACTTCCGCTAACAACAAGAACGTCAAGAGCTTCTAAAAAATATTTTATTGTTGTTCCACACCGAAAGGCCGGTGCGGCAATATCTTTTTGTAATGGAAAATATTTACTTTGGTCCAATATTAAAATGTTCCTAGTTTCAACAGAGTTAACGAGTTAATGAACCAGGTGCAAACAAATCATGAGGCATACAATAAAATCTTTTTTCTACTCCTGTCTGTAAAATACCTAATTGCGCACCGATCTAGAGTGCGGGAAGCGTCGCTTTACCACGTCAGTTTCGTTTCCCACGAATCCGAGCCACTTCGGGCATTTCCGGGATTCAATTTGGAAGCAATCGGATGTTTTCGGAGATATTTGAATTTTGACGTTTGTCAATTCTGACAGTCATGTCAGTGAATGTATTCGTGTTTTGCGAAAATGTACCCAAACACTAACGGTCGTAGAAAAAGTATAGTATGCAACACGTTCGGTAAACTTTTTGACTCACTCGCTTATTAAACACTCGTGTCAAATAAATTCGTGAGTCAAATGCCGTTTACCGCACTTGTTGCATAATATACTATTGATGTCACATGACGAGGAGCCACCCGGAGAAAGACTTAATATTGAAAAATACAAACAAAAAATAAACGTCGCAATGAATTAAGTAATCATAACAAAATGTCACCTGCAAAACGTGTTTCCCCGTTGCAGCCGTAATGCAGAAACGTCTCGCGTCACATTACGTATTTATGTAAATGACAAAATCGCGCTCGACTACAAATTCGCGTGCTTTGGGACTTACAAACTGTAGAGGAATAAGTATAGGAACGAGTTTAATTTTTATAATTTTTTGGAAAAACTGAAAAGGGTTTTTAAGGCGTTTTCTTTAAACCGTCGTGTATTTTTTAGAACACTGTTTTTCACCCTCATCGAATTTATTTTTTCTTTATTTCGAAACTAAGCATAAACAATCTACACATTTCAAAGAATAGGTTAACTGATGCTTACTCACCTTTGGGTTCCATTTCGTTTTCGACGTAAAATACCCCATTTTTGTCGATAATCTCGTGCATTATTATGGCGAACGAATAAACATCACCCTTTTGGGTACCCCCTACGGGTGGGTTTTGCATTCGAAGTAATTCCGGAGCGGTCCACAACTGACCTGGAGCAAAAAAAAGAAACTCCGGGCTTCGTCAAAATTTTGACAGAAGACGTCAAGCAACTCACGTTTCCAATATTCGTAAGAGTCGCATTGGGCGTTTTCGTCGATTATGGCGTAACACCTCAAAAAGTGGATCCCAAAGTCCGCGATCTTCAACACAAATCTACTATCCACCAGGCAATTGGGCGATTTTAACGCGCCGTGGGACTTGATGTCCGTACCGTGCATGTAATGCATACCACGTACCAAGTCCATGATTAAAGATATTCGAAATGTCCAATCTAACTTGTACTCTTCATTCTCCAAAATATCCTGCAAACTGCCTCTGGGACAGTACTCTGTTAGTATACAGTTCGGGCTATTCGGACTATCTAGACACGCTCCGTAGAATTTCACCAAGTTGTCGCTAGACAAGTCTTTCATCACTTTCAATTCGTAGAGATTTTGATGAGATAAACTGATTTTCGCGTCTTGTAGATGCTTTACAGCCACGCGAATAGATCTATAGTACCCTACCGTCGTATAGAGCTGTTTGTCTCCCACTATGCTCATATCATCTTCACCCTGTAATAAAAATGATACGTTTTGCCTTAAAACGAACCTAAATAAATAAGAACTAAAAGTTCAGATTTTCACGAAATTATATATTTTTCGACATTGTCATGTCAAAATATATAATTTCGTGAAAATCTGGACTTTTAGTTTTTATTTATTTTGATAAATGGATTTTCATCAAGTAAAAGCCACCTCAGTTCAATTTTTAAAATGAACACTGAACTTTTGTTCACAAACTTGATCGACAATTGAGAAACCCGTTTTTTCCTAAGATGGCGACCACGCTCGACTATTGACATTAAGATATGATATCAGCTGATATAAATAAAAAAGACTTCACTTAAATTAAAATGTGTATTCACCCTACGTTTTTAATACGCTAAGGCAGTAAAACTACTAGCGAAATTAGTATATTATAGAATTCAAAATGGCGATAGGGTGCGATTTCTCAATACAGTTAAGGTAAAACGTTATTATAATATATAAAAGCTTATTGGTTTTATTTAGGGTTTTTCACTTTTTTTATTCAAAAATAAGTGACAGATTCATTTTTTAATAAAAATATAATACAGGATCGTACAAAATAGTCGCAAACGTTTGAAAGTGGGCAAAGACGTATCGTTAGGGCCTCCTATAAGTAAGATGTAAATTAGGAAAGAATTCAAATTCATCGGGACAAAAAGACACCAAGTAGTAATTTTCGTTCATAAATCGGCATTATTTAGGAAATTCTGCGTTATAATAACCTTTTAAATGTACTTAAGAAATCACCCAGTGAAAATTGGCTTCTAATTACTATAAATAGGATAGATAATATATAAAATGAAAATCACCTACTTTGAATAGAACGACCGAATGGAAACTGTTACGTCTCTCCTTGGGGACGAAAACGATATCGTCGTAATTCACCTTCCACGTTCGTTTGTAAATTTCCGCTTTTAACCTCAAATGCCTAAAACGGGCGGAATATAATTCCTATTTCGCTATATCGGTTGCGATCGAACGCTTTACCTGTAAATGATAACGGCGACCAGCAATAAACCAGCGAAAATCACCGATATTAATGAAATCAACAGGACGTTGACCGTGTCGTATGCTAAAACATGAAAGCGTTAAATCTGGGATGTGGTTAAAAGAAATCAAATCGCATTTACTCGGGCATTTAGACAAATCAAAACCGCACTCTGGGGTGTCAGGCGGGAACGTTCTATTAAGATTCCAACTACGAATGGTTTTGTTCAACGTCGAGTATTTCGCGACCACCTCATAGACCCCTTTGGAGTTTATATTTAACAGGACGTATTCCGCCACCCTTTGAGCGTTGCAATTCATTACGATCTCCTCGTCACGTCCTTGAATAAATGGGTATAGTTTGGTTCAAATTTTACCGTTTGATATTTTGACTGCAATAAAACCAATCGTTTCGGAGGGAACCGGAGTAGGTATATCAAATTTTACTATTTTATTATTATAGACACAAAAAATAATATTTAGAAGGTTTGAAGAACGGTTAAATTAGTGAAAATTCCACCTTTGTTAAGGCCGAACTTTATGCCCCTCTTTGTTGTAGTTTTCCTACGCTTATTTTCCCTGATGGTTTATAGTCTCTTGCTATTATTATAAGCCTGATATGTGACGTGTTCTTTCCAATATCTCCCTTGTCTTACGAATTTCGCGATGCATTGCATTCGTCCATTACATTACATAACTGAATATTTAACTGCAGCTTTTAGCATATTTATTTCAACTGTCTCGAGTAATTGTTTTGTCATTCTTGTTTGGGCTCGAGTTACTCTTATGTAATTTTGCTTTGCAATTTATTTCTAAATGTCATGCCCCATAATATATATAAAATTGGAGACGACTTCCGGATTTCTATGGATTCTCGGATTTTTCGTCGGTAGAAGAATTGATTACATGCAAGAGCATGATTGTGTTCTTACGGCACTTCACTTTCTTTGATCTACTTTATATTTTTCGTCTCTACCACAAGTGGTAAATTTGGTTCTTAAGAACTTTTGATCTGTGGTGAGTGATGTTTTAAATGTAAGGAAGGGCAACAGTGGCAAGTGTGGGGTTGCTTTGGGACTCATTTCATCTTTCTTTGGAAGGTTGTGGTGAAGCGTTTTTATTCTGGGTTCAGTGACGGGCTCAGATAGTTTTACGGCTCCGTGAATAAGAGAGTTGATAACCCATGAATTTTGACCGGTGATAACGCGAAAACCCATAGCCGTTCCCGAATGGAACTCTTTGTTTTCCCGGAACCAACGTACCTATACCGAAAGATGTTTGAGGAAATGGTTGATTTATCACAGTAAAGGTCAAGGGTAAAATTTAAATCTTGCCACGTCGATTCGTAATCGGCTACTTACCCTGGAACCGTCTGCCCATCATAGACTGAACAACTTCGCACCCTTTAACCGATTGGTTTGGTATAGGAGTATTATTTTCAAATTGTATCTTATCTTGGAGTACCTGCGCGTACATTTGCAGACCATCATAAATTCCGTCTAAATAATTGAACCCTCGCTCCTGTTTCTCGACATCGTCGAAATTTGCCTCTTTTATCGGCAAGAAAGTGTAAATTCCCTCGAACCCTTTGCGGGCCAGTTCGTTATTTTCCTCGTCGTCTTTTTTATACCATGGCTTATCCGGTATTGTTGAGCTTGAAATAAATATAATTGATACGCCAGCTGAAATTTGAATTTAACTTACTTATTATATAATTCGACATTGAGAAAAATATATTCCCCTCTATCCATCATTTTGAGCTTAGCGGCTTCAATGGCGATTTTACGCAATCGCTCTTGACTAGTACAGGTGAGAATTACTAAAACCGAAGCAAAGTCGGTTAACAATAGTAAGACGTTATCCTATACGTACTCCCGTAGTTTACTCCAACCTTCTCTTGGAGGAAGTCGGTGTAATTTAATCCCATTAGCTCCAAATCTCCGTCAATGTAATCGAAATTTGGTATGATTTTTATTTCATTAATTAATGTTTTTTCGAATAGAATACAACTATCGTCGCCCGCTACCTCATTCTGTTGAGTCTTTTCGTACATCAGGGCTACTTTTGTCCAGTTGTATCTTCAAAATAATCGATTGAGACGAAACACAATTAAATTATACAAACATATCATTCGATCAGATTTGTTGAACTGAATTTATAACATTTGAATTTAATCAAAACTACGGCCTTCCTATACGACGAAAATTCGACAAGATTGGGGGCGCTCACCCTTAAATGTACTAAGATTTGCGAATTGAAGCATACCTGTCGATAATGAGATGAACGAATTCGGCGTAAGATGCATAATCCACTGATCCGGAATTTACTAGGAGATACATTTCGTCGGAAGTTTCTCTTTTTTTAACGGTAAAATCAAATGTAAAACCGCCCGGTGTTAATAGAGGGATACCGGAAAAGCCGATGTATTTAGCAATGCGTCCCACGCTAGCTGAAGCAAAAAAAATACTGAAGAATTTAAACCGCAATTAGTTTTAATAATATGTGCCAATACTGAGCTCAGTTTAAGAAAAAAACTGTAGGTCCTAAACGTCGCCGCTTCTGCGATACAGAGTGGAGGTCATTTCCCAATTTCGATTTCGATCACCACATTGATATAATTTTTTTTTTTAATGCAAAAAACCATGTTAGCTAAACGAAAACACAATGAACAGTAGAAAATTTTAAAATAAAAGCAAAAAGAAAACAAATTAATACGAGAAAAACACAATAAAGAGTCACTTGGCAGTGAATACCAATTTAAAATTTCAATTGAATTAAAAAATAATAATAGGGAAGTACTTTTTTATAAACTTTTCACTAATTACAAAACTTCTGGATTCGCCAATCATCCTGTTGGCTTCTTCAGAGCTTGACTGAAACTGGCTCGCGTTTTACTCTGTACCTGCTTTTATATTGTTTGAGGGGGGCGGAGCTAGATGAAGGGCATAAGCATCCGTCTCGAATGACTGATTTCCATACTGGTGACAGATAGAGACCTGAGTCGCGGTTAAGATTGTTAGATTGTTGTTCTTTAGAACTTTTGATGCGTGGTCAGTGATGTTTTTAATATAAGGAAGGACAACAGTGGCAAGTGTGGGATTGCTTTCGGTTTCATTGCTATTGGAAGGTTGTGGTGAATTGTATTTCGTGATGGAACGCTTAATAAAGGTATCGGTCTGTGTGCGTAGGTTTTCTGTGAACTAGGTATTCCTGACCATGAGACCAAATAACAAAAATGTCATCGTTCATCGCGTTCATAATTTTGGTTTCAACTTACAACAGTTCGTATTCCTCAAATTTTATCATGAACATTAAAAATATTTAAAATTAAACCCATAGGTAGCAGAACCAGGACCCAGCAACTCTGCCAAAAAATTAAAAACACTTGGACAAAGATAATTTCAAAACTTAGCCCAGAGAGCTTACAAAATCTTGCCAAACAGCTTGAAACCAAAAAAACAAATAAAAACGATTTATAAATCAAAGACATACATACCCAACCAACCAAAACTAATGAAACAACCACTTGCTATTAATTTTTCTGTTAACAACTAATTTAAAAAATACATCTTTCATAGAAAAAATGCGTGTTTTAGTTTACACCGATGACGACCTTTTATAAAGTTTTTTTCTTAAAGTGAGCTCAAGAATCCCCTTCAGTGGTGCCAAGTTGTATCTATTTTTATGGTAGGTATGGGTTGGATCGACACCACCGACTTTCTAAGAACTGATACTGCTGAATTCTCAGTAGGGATCAAATCGAATATTACACTTTCTGCTCGCACCTCGTATATGCAAACATTAATAAATGCCTCTACTACCGTTAACGCGATATATAAATAATCATTATTGTCTACACAAAAACCTAAAACTGGGAAACAGATAATAGTTATCTCGTGTGAGTAACAGAAATACTCGAGCAGTTATTTATTTTTCCGCCGAGATTTGTTTTATTAATGCACGCCTATCACAAAAATCGTTCTATATCCACTACCGTGCGAGAATGACGTCAATTGACGTTTTTCCATCGAAATATATCGAATATACAAGGATCCCAAGGCATAGGAATTAAAAAAAAAAAAACAGTGAAATTCATATCTAGGATATCTGAGCAAGTAACGGCCCTCTCGTGGCAATCCGTAGCGTAACGAATAGATTTCTACCCTTCCAGATCAATAATGCCAACTAACCCAAGGCATAATCACAGACAGGTCCAAACATGACGTGGTTACAACCCTCGTTCGCTTCGACGATGCCGCCCACAGCTTTTTCCGCAGAACAGCCATCATCTATCCAATGAAAATCCCAATAAAACGGTGGCTTCGCCAATAATTCGTTCACATTTCGAATTGCCAAATCTAGAGTTTCTTGAGCCTAAAAACAACCGTATATTAATGACGTATCGGAAACAAAATCTTATTATGTCAAATTAAAAACAAATAAATGCATCCATAGACTAACAAAAATCGGTATTAATCAACTCGCTTTCAGCTCGTATTTCCCGATAATTGCGTTCGAAAGCGGAATAACTCAACACCGTCCCTTGGATTTCATAAATCAATTTGCAGGGAATTACGAAAAACAAAAAAAAAAACCATGCCTAAAAATTTGGACTAGGTAATGGCGGTCGATAAAATATCAATTAGGTCAATATCAACTCGACAATATTTGCCCAACTACAGCCGCATTTTTTAAAATACCTTTTCCGTACCAAATAGCAAAAGTTAGTTAAAAAATGAATTTTGCAGTAACTGTGAGTTGATTTATAACCGTGTCAACTCCTGTTTGGTTTTTTTTCCTCTCTTCCATGTGTATTTCTAATCTGTTATTTTTCTTATGTTTAGAACTGCACAATTTTCTATATTATTTATCTGTATTTAATAAATGGTCCCTTCCCTATTTTCTTAACATGTTAGAAGTTTGTACATTAACTTGTTGTTGTTTGTTACGTATGTGTCATTTTATTATTACTGTATTTAATATCTTACGTCTTTCTTTTTATAAATTTTTAGTAGTTTGTAACTTCACTTTGTAGTTACGATCATCTTGGTTGGGCTAGCTAAAAGAACAGAGCTCAATAAATGCCTCTATTAAGAAACTGGAGTCAAAACAATAAAAATTCAGTGTTAACTCACGGGTATTTTTTTTCCTCTATTGCATTTGTGTTTCTATTCTCTAATTTTCCGCATATGTAGAACTTGACGATTTTTCATCTCAACTAGATTATTATATACATTTAGTTGTTACGAATGTGTTACTTTACTATTACTGTATTTAATATATTGTGTTTAATGTTTTTTTTTTAACTTGTTAGAAGTTTTTTTTTGTTTGCATCTCAGGATAGCATTTTTCCAGGATCTCCGGGTCGTTTTGAATAAAAGCGTTTATAATTCTTATTTTGTATTAAAAACGGTTTTATGTAACAAATTAATGACAGCATTAACAGTTAAATTATGTCGTAATAACACATTCTAAAAATAATATCTAATCAAACACTCTTCTTTACAATTTATCGTTAAAAATTTTATATTAATACATCTATCGTTCACCTTGACTTATTTGAAAATGTAGTTTTAATTCCGTTTGAGAATACACTCGCCCGTTGAATTTGCTGCTAAGGTTTTATCCCATTTTGGTGCCAGAATTTAGCAACGCTTAAGGTGCGTTTATCGATCCTCTGTGAGTAGATATGACACACACCCCATTCCCCCATTCAAAAGATTAGTGCACTTCTAATTTGAGCGTAAATTAACGCCCATAAAATTAGCTAAATTAATTCCAATCGATTAAAAACATATTTTTTCGATTAGTCTAGACAACAACAAAAAAAAACCAAGCGATTTATCAATTATTGTTGTAAATAAATCGGCCGATTCAAACGCAGGGCGTTACAATGAAAAAATTCAAAACATTTTAGTACTCGAGTGGCTCTAATTATGTTCTCGTTATCGTAAACCAAAACAGATAAAATAAAAATTTATTTACCCTCGCTAAGTTTACGATGTAAAAATCGCTACCGGGTAGCAAAACGACTACATGGACCGTGCAGTTTCCGTTTTCGTTGCAAATGCGGCAAGAGTTTTCCTCCTTTACGGACTGTAGGCATGTATCGGAAACTTCCGGGCAAGAGTCTACCGTCCACGGTGGTACGGTCAAGATACTATTGTCGAAATCTTCGGGCGAAATGGTGACAATGCCCGGATAAAAACAACCGAGAATCAGCATAGTTACGACTAGGATCATCACTAATAGTCAGCCGCCGCAGCATTGACACATGGGAATGGGGAGACACTCCATACACAACTCATTTTACGAAAGGACTTCGATAGACTAAGTTGATAGCTGATGATAGCAAATATTGATATCACTCTCCGGCGCAGATATATACAAAACGATAATGTTTTTTCCGTAGGATTCGAACCGATTGGGCGAAAAAAATATATATTTTAATTCTTCTGTTTCGGCAATTTTACGAAAACGAGCACCGATCTCGAACGATTACGTTTCACTTTGTTTACCCGGTGGTTCACACTGCGAAAACACTTTCTAAATGAATGAGCGGCGGGGGAGGGGTCTAATTGAGAGAAGCGGGAGGAAAAATCGGAAAATCTACCGCGAACTGTCTAACGCTACATCTTTAATTATTACCTCAATAAAAACTATTTCTAAATGCGATAATAAACCAATAAAAAATTGTTTGTGTGTACAATAAAAACTTAAAATTCGAATTTGATATATCAAAGATAGATGTTCCAATAACACGACGTGGAATAAATTAAATATGACATTTTATAAACGAAAAGCTAGTGGAAATATAAACAGGCTACGCGCTCTCTGAAAAATACGCGTAAACTATTGTCAAAAGTGAGAGACTTCTCAATAACATACAAGATTCAAAACTTGCACATACGAAAATAATTTCGAATATGGGAGAGTAATTTTGCAGTCAATTCGGTATATAAACAAATACAGTTGCTTTTTTATTAATAATAAATAACTCAGTTTCGCACGAATGGCGTTCATGTCCAGCAAATAATAAAATCGTCGAAATCATTTCCCTTATCTATAATATTTCCATCCGTTTTAATATTTCACGTGAGATTTTTCGCGATTAATTAATATTCATTCCTTCATATATACGCAGTTATTTGCTGGAATATCATTTGTGCTATTGACAGAAGCTCGATTTATTATAACGATAATACTACGGCTGCTTTCAATCACTTTTTTGCAACTGAAATATTTACTTTAATTAATAAGCGTTAAAGTTACTTCTCCTTACCACCAATTAATTCTAATGTTACTCGATATTTTGTTAAACATATTTAACGAAAGTTTTTTAATAGCGAGAATAATGACCAAAACGAATCAATCAAATAAAGATATTGATCGGATATATCCAAAAAATCAACGTTTCCTACAATGTCGATTATAGAGTTTAAATCGCTGGCCGCTAGAGGGCCCCAGGTGGTAATTTTCGATAGATCGTGGAAATTTAAGTTTCCTTATGAGTATCGTTCATCATAAATAAAAGTGATATAGCACTTAAATAATAAATAACTGACCTAGCTACTATGATTGAGCAGTTGCTTTGCTAAAAGAGCGAGAACTAAATAACAGGTGATTGAAAACGGCGATTTTTAATAACAAACGGACGAAATGCTCCACGATAAAGTCCTAAATTCAGTTCACAAAAACCTTTCAAAAAGAATCCCGTCAAATTTTCTGGAAGAGAATGCGGATTACAGAAGCCCCTTCTGTTTTACATAACGAATTGTGAACCTTCAATACTTTTTGTACCCGGAGAGATAATCGGTTAGAGGAAATCTCTGGGAATCGATTTTTCTAACCACTATATACCGACGTCGCCAAAACATAATCAATCAGGTTAGAAAAAAATGTAAGTTATCAAAACAAATTAATGGATAATAGTGTCGTACATTAACACTGGATCCTTTAGGGGAGTCGTTTACTCTGGATTAACATAAAAATACGCCTAAACCATATCGATTTTAATATTAAGCCCTGGTCTTTCTACCCTAATCGTAGATTCCTGCTTAATTCCAACAACTTTAGAGAAAATTCGTGAATATATATTATTCGATGGTAGGCACATAAAAAAGGCTTTGCAATAAGATAAATAGTTTTAAGGAAAATGTAAAATACCATCATTAATCTACATCTCCTCCCTTTCTCCCGGCGTTTCAGCTCCGTGCTTGTGTTTACTATCAGCCACGTCCATGAAAACGAGTTGAAAACTAAGATATGTCAAAGGATACTGCAGAAAAAGGATACTAAATAATTTAAAATCGATTGACTGACTGACGGTCTGACGGACTAACCGGCCCGACTTTACTTTACAATTTGAATTTTACACTTATCAGTTGAGTCAACCCAACCCTTTTCCGGGGTATCATAAGTGTCGAACCAGGTTTCGTCCACTTTCATCTACACCCGAGAAAATGTCAGCATCGCTTCTTTTTTTCATCACTGAAATGGGATTATTCACAATTTTCCATACAGTTGATGTTGGAATTTTCGTCAATGTGGCCGTTCTTCTAAAGAAGCTTGCTTGCTGGCACCACGTTCAATGAGAGTCAAATAAACATTGTTTATAACTTCCTTAGTCTCAATAGAATAGTGTTTTCTACATTTGGGCGGGTGGATCTCCTGAGATATACTAGACTCGCACATATTTTGCATAATTCGCACACGATTCAATACACCCTGTATTACACACGAAATAAGAATGATTACTTATAAACTTAAACTAAGTAGAATACCAAACCAAAGAATATTAAACACAGGTTGGTATAAAATTATTTTCTATTACGGACCACAATTTTACCTGAATTTAAATTCCAAAACTGTAGGTAATAATCTTGTTGCATTGTATGTTAATGACCACCCTTGGATAACCCCATTCAAAAGCAGTTGATCACTTTCTTATATCTACGAACAGACCATTCCTCTGCTGACTTAAATAATCGGTGTGACCTTAATTTGAGCTTCAAACAGAAACGATGGTTTAATGATGCAAAAATATAGGAAAGTTTTGTGATTATTTCAGTCCTGTGACAAGAATAATAACTTTTGGTGAGTCAGTGAGTCATTCTTTTTATATGACCCGTTTTTTTTGGAGACGGTACGGAAATATATTTTTTAAATAACTCTATCAATTTAACTGCATCAAATGCTTCACGATTGAAGATTTGGGAGAGTTTGAACTTGCAGCCCAAATGAACCACTGTGAGTTTTACTATAGCTATGGAGCTTTCCGGGATTCTTTTTCCATCTAATTTTTCACGGCTGTTTTTCTTATGCTTGTGATTTCCTATTTCTTTCTTATTTTCTTATTGCAGTCACTAGATTCTGCACTTTTCATTTGGCACAAGCAAGGTAGTCTTCAACAAATTCGCTTACAAAATGTCGAGAGCACTGAGATAATTATCATAAATTATAAAAAGCAAAACTAAATAAATGTCTTTAAATGCAAGAGCACGAATGAGAAATTCTTCGATAATGCCGGAAAGCTTTCGAGCAAAAGAAACAGCCGTCCACACACTTCAACTTGTGAAATCAATTTTCATAAAATAACTTCAGATTTTGAAAAATATACAAATACAAATAACTCTAATTTTATTTTCATAAAAAATACAACTATCAAAGCAGTTAAGGAGAAACATCGGGAGAAACGAAGAGGGAAAAAGAAAAAGAAAATTAAATATCGATTTAAATAGGCTATGATATGATCTCTATGTGAAATGTTAAATGAAAAAGGAATGCAGACGTTTTGACCTTTTGAGTGCTGGACTGGAACTGTTATGAATTCGCTATATCACTGCAATAAAAGATTGAAAGTATTAAGGTATTATACAGAAAAGATGTGGTTTTTGGTATGCCACATATATTAATGTATTAACATTTATAATATTTATATTAATATTTTATTATTTATTACTATTATATATATTTATTTTACTTATTACATTATTTATTTATTATTACGTATGATTATTTTATTTTATTTATTATATTATTTCTTTATTATTTTAAATTAATATATGGGGCGAGTGGATAATTTTAATCGCAAACACGATGCACATAATAATCACACACAATTGTATATAAATAATGGTTTGATTTTGTAATCAACAAATCGAATAAACATTTAATATTTTAATATTTTATTATTTATTTTTTATATTATTTATTTATATTTAGTATTATTATTACATGAAATTATTATATATTCATTATATTGTTAATTACTATTATATATTATTATTTTATTTATTATTATTTTAAATAAATATAAAGGGGGGATGGGCGGGTTTAATTACAAATACAATACAATTACGAATACAATATGGATGATATCGTATTTGTCCCTGATGGTCCAGGATGATTATCGTGTGAAATAATTGTTAATCGATATATGGATTGATGACGATATTATTGTACAATTTAAAGATCAGAAGAGTCTTGAGTTTAGGTTTGTGTTTCAGTACGTCCATAATAATATCGGTAAAATCGAGTGTATTGAAAAATTCGTTATTTTGTTCGATAAGACGTAGCGTCTGGTCCGCCCTTTAGTTTTGTTTTATTTCGCAAACCGGGATTTGTTTGCGGGGTAGCGTTTCCGCCAGACCTTTCACGATTTTCGACGAAATCGATTCCAAAAAAATCGCTTTAACGTGTATTCTCCCGCGGTGAGGGCAAAAGACTGAATTATTCATCATCATATTTTCTCGCGTGCAGCATCAACAGGTAAAGTCTTAGGGCTCTAGACGGTATAAAACGAGCAATTCGTGGATTAAACAAATACGCGCGACGACGCCCTCGTTTAAACAATTTTAACCCGACGCTTTCGATGTAATATAAACTTCAAATGATGGCGACAGATTTCGCAGGCACCTACACTTAATATCTGAAATTGCACGACACAACAATAATTAAGTTTTGCTATATTTACTCGAGATAGGTATTTGTCGCTCCGTATTATCATATAAAGTGAAATACCGCAAAACTTTCCGTATAAGCTATGACGTTTTACCAACGATCGATAATCGTGCTATAGTTATAAGTTCGCAAAGGCATAGGTAGAGCAATAAAACCTCATTAGACATGGAAAATGGCTAATGCTACGAATACTTAAGCCACTGTCATTTTTTTGCACCGAAACTGGTGTGCGAAACGGGCCCCGACAGGATATATTCGCAAAAAGGAAAGTATTTTACTTTAACAGAATAAAAATTTTTAATTATACGTTTTACTAAAAATACATCAACATTCAAAATCGTAGTTT